GCTGCACCAAACAAATTCATAAGGGAAAAAATGTAAACAATAAACCAACTCCATAGCTGATTCTAAGTGATCAAGGGCTTAGGACGTTCCAGTTAAGCCCATTCCAAGGGTTCTGCCAGAAGTGTGCACTCATGCAACGTAATCAATGACGTACATCCGAGTAAATGAGACGGAGGGAAGTTCGCGAGTGAAGGGCATAACTGGAGGACTGGAACGCAGCCCAGCTCAAACCAGCAGCTATGCTTCAAAACATACCTAACCAATTAGGGTTTTTCAACGGGGAAGCAGCTCTTCATCATGTTGTGTGTGAAGAGCTTCTGCAGTTAATGCAAAATTTACCAATATTACTATCCTTGTGGGGATTATAGTAAGATACTGATAATATTTTTTTTTTTATAATAGCAACAAATAGCCAGAATATAAATATTTACTGGAGAAAAGTGACGAGCACAAATTGGTTGTTTAGGTTCTGTTTGGAATCGTGTTATAAAACAGTGTCACCTACAGGCCATACAAGAAAATGCTGTGAAACAAAGTGACACATTTGTGTTATGACATTAACAACAGAGCTCTGCTTTATTATACACCTGGACCGGTTCATCATCTATGACATTTTTATGCATTCTGTATATTGCTTCATTAGTTCTGTTTGAAATCATGAGAGAGAATACAGCATTTCTTTATACATTTAAAATGACCGATGTGGCAACATGGTTTCAAAATGACAATTATATGAATAAAAGAATCTGAAATATGAACAGAAACAGACCTGTGTGTTATAATGATAACAGAAGAAGAGAGCTGAATGACCTTCATGCTGCTTCATTCCCAATTAAACACAAATAGAATATCATGCAAGATACAAATAATATTTAGTAATTAGCTTGCTTCTATTATACTTGGACCTCATTTATTGAGTTTGACAGTATTCGGCATCCCAAACACATTCCTGGAGCCTCCTCAGCACTAGTTTGAACAGTTGAGGCTAGAAAGGATACAGCTATGCCACTGGGCATACACACATCAATATTGCGTATTTTTTGTCACAACACTATATTTGCATTATTGTAAGGGGTAGGTTTAGGGTAGGTGTAGACGTTAATAAAAAATAAAAAAAATCTAATAGGTAGAAAATGTAATTTCTTGTGACTTTCCAGCTGTAGCTGTATCCCTTCTAGCCACAACCACTTTGAACATCTTTGTCTGACACCAATTTCAGAGTCTCTACTAATGAACTGATGAGTTGAATGAAGTGTGTTTGATTAAGGAGACATGCAAAATGTGCCGTGCTGGGGAACTCCAGGAACATGGTTGGGAACTAATGATGAAAACAATAAAATACATTTGCTAATGCACTACGCACTATATTAAAGTATTTTGAGGTCACTTAATTGATAATCTGCCCCTGTAATCAAAATGTAAGCACATATTTTTTGGTTTTGTTTTTGTGCCATTGATGTATGTTCCATATGCAAAAGCTGCAACGAATTATGCGTACGTTTTTGAAGTTTTGCAAAAATACAGATAGAGTAACATTATTCCAGTGAGCTGTGTTCTAGATGGTTGCTAATCAGTTGCTAGGCTTTTCTGGGTGAGTGTTAGGGTGTTGCTTGTTGCTTACAGACTTCTTGTTCATTCATTTCATAATAAATTCAAATCTTACTTTGAATGCAGCTAAAAAAATTTTGAAGGGGTCAAGTTATCTTTTTTTTTTTTTTCATGGAAATGCTTCCCAGCTAGATCTGCACCAAACCAGCATAAATAAGTCAAGACCAGCATGCTGGCCTAATCTAGATTGCATGTCAAATTTGAAAATAGGACTCTGAAAATGGTGGAAATACTTCTTTCAAAAACATGTCCTTCACGTGGCTTATCATTGTTTGCAACTGCAATAATAGTTTATTAATCTACCTTTTGTTTTTTGTCAGTTGCTTTGGATAAAAACAGCTTTATGGGTTTTCTTTATAAAAAATACAACACAAATTTACAGCAGCATAATGAAAACACTTACTAAAATAAGAGACTGTTGGAAATATATTGTGAAGCAACAAGTAACCGGAATATTGATACTTAAGGTAAAATGATGTGCTTGTGAACAGGCCCCTGAGAGGCTGTTTAGGAGCTGGAATTGCATTATTAAGAACTGCCACCTAGAGGACATATACGAAAGAGGCCTAGGCTTTACAATAAATTTTACCTCTAATATGGTTCTTTGAAATAATGCCAAAATTGGTAGTATAACTGAGAATAAACAGAGACACTATGAAATAATTTCACTTATATCTGGCTTAATTTAACTAGCAGTTTTGATTTTGCTGTAGCATTTTATGTTTGTGTTCCTTCTTCTGCAAAATACAGCAAAGTACCCTGCAGGAAGCAACTAATTTCTCACAACTAAAGCTACAATAAAATGTAGAATCAATACAAACAAATGTAAAAAAGGGGCACATATATATCACTATGGGGTAATTCCAATATCACAACTACAATAGCATTAACTATCAACAGTGCTAAAGTAAAATAAAGTCCTTTCACGTCACCATTTCACGTCATTGATCTAACAGTCTTCACCAGCTGTAGGCAACTCTTTCCTGCAGAGTTTAGCTCCAAACTCAATCAAACACACCTGAACAAGCTAATGAAAGAAGGAGGAGGACTAGCATCATGCCACGGTTTTTATAAGAAGTCTTCTTTGTGACATCCACCAGCTTATCAAAGATGTGTTCAACGCTCATGCATTCCCTCTGCTGGTTGGCTTGAGTCTTTGTATAAAATACAGATATTGACACCAAAATAAGTGTCCAATAACAAGTTATTTTTGAGTTTTTATTTAGATACACAGTTTCAGGAATATCTCTATGCAGACAGGTTGAATTCGGAATAGCATGCTAGCATACCTTCTCTTGCCATTTGTTCCATATCTTTATATGGCTTTTTATTCTATAACATTTTCTATTAACTATTAATGTTAGGAATGTATTCAGCCTTTTTCGTGGAAATCAGTTTGTATTTACCAGATGCTTTTGTAACATGAAGCGACATACAGCTGGAGCAAATTGGATGCCTCACAAAACATTGTGTTACTTCAAGAGTGTGATGAGCGTAGATTAGTTTTTGGGCCATAGAGCTCACTACGGCAAAACCAGAAGACTGTGGGTTCTTTAGAAATGTACTGTGGAATGTTAAGATAGTGGTTTGCTATTAACGAGTAAATATCATTACTTGAAGAGACATGTTAGAAACAGTCTAATAGGAACAGAGTAGCATATAATTTTTACATCACATTTAGTACTGAATTATTATATGGGTTACATAGAGTAATACTGATTAGCATGTTAATTCTCTGCTACCATGAGGGATTATGTGTTGATGCTGAATGAGCTAAAACGTAGCGCCAGTTGATAATAAAAATAACATAATTGAACAATATTTCAGTATAGGGAGCAAAATGCACAAAGACAACCTATTACCATTACGCAGAAGAAGAGCAGAAAAGGGCAGCTAGCAACAACAACAGGAAGAGCTAACATGTTTTTAGTACTAACATATTACTTAGAAGCCTTCAGGAGTATAAAGTATATGGGTTACATACAAAATCCAAGTGTATTGAATTTGAATCTTCAAATAGAATTACTTTTTTTTTTTTTTTACTATTTTTTATCATTTTGAGTTTGTTGTTGTTAAGTTTATTGTGTAAGTCAGTCAAGCTGACATGACTAATTTATGTAGCAATTTCTAATACTGTGTGTATGTGTTGCACATGGAATGCGTCTTGATTCAGATGATGATATACTTTTGGTCATTTAATATTCAACTTTAAATGCTATTATTCTTGATTTTAGTCCTGAAAACTTACATTGGAAGCACCACGCCTCAGTCTTGCATCAGCAGAACGCACAATCTGATCAAATGCCTTGAGAATCAAAACATCAACATCATTGTTTGTGTTAATCTCATTATGATAGTTCTTCACTGGGAAGATGTGGCTCACTGGAACACCCACTTTGGCACTGCACAACCCCATCTGGACAGAAACAGAATGCAAAATAGTTTGTAAAACTACAGAAAACAACATACAACATGTATAGATGATTAAATGACCAACCCTCTCTTTGATGATCTGGCTTCTGTAGACCATCTTTAGATCATTTTTGACCAGATAACTTGCCTCATCCACTTTAGACATGACAATCACTTGAGGAATCCCTACAATGAGAAAACTGAAAGTGTTTTAATCCAAATTATACAAATCTACATTTTGTAATATATTCCTGCGTTTTCCATTTCTCTCATCTTGTCCAAAACAAAGGCAAATAATATTAAATTTTTATTTTTATTGGTTCACTTAAAGCACCTTTATCTATTGTTGAAATGTATTTCAAATATGCACTTATGCTAAACTAGTTTCCATGTGGAATGTAGGACAAATAAAAATATTGTACAAAAATTGCATTCCTTTTTTTTATTCGTCTTGTCAGGATACAATTCGTTTAACATTGACAACACAACAGGGAAAAAGTGTCGCAGAGAGAAAAAAAAAAAAGTAGGTTGTACAAAAATAGCCTATTAGCTATTTTTATTCGTCTTGTCAAAATACTAAATTAATTTGACATGTTTCTGTTAACACAGTAGGAAAAGTGTCACAGAGAAAAATAAAGAAATAAGACATCTTTCATTTAAAATTATAGGCTAAGCAAAATTTCGAGTCGAACGTCCTTCAAGGACAGTGCATCCACACTTTGCTCCGTCCTTATTCTGCTCTGTCACTCATCGATAACCTGCCTGTTCTGTCTGAGGGCCGTATATTTACCACCGGTTCAGCCTGCTCTGAGCATCGTTGTGCACATGCTGCGCACAGACCCCGCAAATAAAACGCATGACGCAGAAAGCATGCGTGTAGCCCGTGCATAACAGTCCGAGTGCAGGCTGTACCGGTGGTCAATAAGGCTCTGAGCATCGTTATACACATGCTGCGCACAGACCCAGCAAATAAAACGCGTGACGTTTAAAGCATGCTTGCAGCGCGTGCACAACAGTCCTGAGCTCAAACTGTACCGGTGGCCAATAAGAATAAAGCGCAGATATGCTGTTCTGAATGGACACCAGGAACGGGATATTGTTAGACCGCCCGCTCCTGTTCAAATTACACCAGAGTTACCGACCGCTACACGCGTTTTATTCGGAATTTAATCCCGCAGTGCAAAAAATCCAGTGGGATTAAAAAAGAGCAGCGGGAATGCAGACCTCTAGTTCCAAAAATGTATGAGTTTCTTTCTTCTGTTAAATACAATAGAAAATATTTTGAAGAATGTGTAACACGTTTTTCACATTCTAGTCAATGCTACCAGCAACTGTTTGGTTACCAACATTCTTCAAAATATCTTCTTTTGTGAATGTTCATTTTTGGGTGAATGACCCCTTTAACTTTTCATTGAATGCCTTACTTTATATCCCTCCTTCACATGGCCATATATGCTGTTGACAATGTCATCTATTTGACACTCAGATATTTTTTCAGGTTCTAAACCTTTTATGTCACATAATTCAAAAGGCAAATCTGCATGTGCACTTCTGATGCGGTATGCTCTCAGCTGTAAACAAAGACAGAGAAAAATTGCAAGATATATTTTTAAATATCACACAATGCTTATGATTTTAAACAAATGTCTGGTTTGGTTGATGATTTGTCTATATTTCCTTAAATCATATTCCTACAGTCTTAGCAGCTACAGTCTTGTGTGTGCAATATAGAAGTCAAATAATGCTTACTCTTTTTGTGAAACTGTGACTGTCAGCTGATCCCAAATCTTCAGCTATTGCTTCATTAACTATTTCTCCTTGAAAGGCACTAAGGACAGAGTTAATAAAGCTGGACTTCCCTGCTCCAATTTGTCCAGCCACCAGGATCTTGACGTTTGTCACATCTGGATTACTGAGAGTAACATTTTCTAGACGTCTTTTCAGCGCTTCCTTCTGTCTACAAAAGACAAGAGACAAAATTATCTGCACACTAAATAAATAAAAATAATATACTATATGATAGACTATATGAAAAAAAAAAGTTGGATCTTTCTGTTTGAGAATTCTTATTTGGGGTTTATTTATTCAGCCAATATATAATATTTTAGTCAATTTACACAATTTTTCTAAATTATTTTTTTTTTAAATCTCCATTTTAAATACGTTTATAGTTTGATATTTTGAAACCAGTTATACTTCATCTTATATTTCCAGGCAAAAGGGAACAAAAGCCTGCACACAGTGTCCTTCAATGTAAAAAAAAAAAAAAAAAACGTAAACAACAAACATTTAGAGGTCAGATATTTCAAAACAAATATGTATTAGACAATGTATATTTTACAGTAGGCCTAAATATAATTAGGCCTAAATATAATTTTAGCTATTTGGGCTTTCTACAAATACAAAATTTACCATATCTTTGAACAGTCTACTATATATAATAAGATAGCCCACATACTACATAGTCCACATAGCCTTTGTATATGTAGCTTACCTCCAGTCAAATGTCCTCCATGCTTCATCCAGTTCAGTGAAGAAAAACAAAAAAAAAACATATAGATCAAATAAACAATTAAGTTAATTAACAATAAATTGGTATTATCTCAGTCTCTGAGTCTCAGAATGTATCTATCCCATCTAACAGAGATTGTTCTCAGAACTTTGGCTAACATTCTGGCAAGGATCTCTCAAATTTACAAATGTCCTTATAGTAACATTAATATAACATTTGTTCAAAGTTTTTGGTTTTAATAATGTTTTAAAAACGTTAAAGCAAAAACATTACGCATCATTTATGGAACTGTTTTTCAGAGATGTTTTAGTTGGATGTTGTATGGATATTGCTACTGGTTTCAAAATGTTTAGGGAACATATCAAAAGTAACATTCCCATAATGTTTGCAAAATGATAAAAGGAGTGTTTGCACATTCACATAACCAAGAAAAAAAAAAGGGTTTTTTAAATGTTTCAAAAACTGGATGTTTTGAACATTCAGAGAACATTTAGAAATATAATTTTCATAACTTAATGGGAATGTTAGAAGATCGTTCTTAGAACATATTTTTGTTAGCTGGGATGGTGTGTAATCTTCTTAAAAATGGGAGACAGATGTTGCTTGGAACCATGGCCGTACCCAGGCGTTGAAAATTAGTGAGGTCTGGGTGGGGGATGGACCAATTCTAACAAGAATTGGTGTTAAAGGGGTCATATGATGCGATTTCAATTTTACCTTTCTCTTTGGAGTGTTACAAGCTCTTGGTGCATAAAGAAGATCTGTAAAGTTGCAGGAAATACATCAACTTCGCGCTGTGGATCGCCGGATCGGCTTTCACCGTGGACGAAGCAGAGTCCAGCCCGGGGTCGTCACATGTGGTTGCCGCAAGCCCTCCGGACGCTCCTTCGTCGAATCCGCCGGCCGAACCGTTCTCAAGCCCAGCCGCCCGTTCCTCACTCTAGCCCGCCGTGTGTGACACTGTGTGTTTCGTTGTG